TGCACTGGGATCTGGGGGGCTGCGTGCGACCACACAAAAGGCGCCCCCCATTTGATGTGGGGAGCGGTCATTGTAGCAGGAAAATGTAGTTTTTCCTCAGTTGGGAATCGGTCATGCTCTTCCTCATCCGCTTGGACTACTGCAACGCGCTCTACATGGGGCTACTTTTGAAGGTGACCCGGAAACTGCAATTAATCCAGAATGCGGCAGCTAGACTGGTGACTGGGAGCGGCCGCCGAGACCACATAACACCGGTCTTAAAAGACCTACATTGGCTCCCAGTACGTTTCCGAGCACAATTCAAAGTGTTGGTGCTGACCTTTAAAGCCCTAAACGGCCTCGGTCTTGTATACCTGAAGGAGCGTCTCCACTCCCATCGTTCAGTCCAGACACTGAGGTCCAGCTCCAAGGGCCTTCTAGCGGTTCCCTCACTGCGAGAAGTGAGGTTACAGGGAACCAGACAGAGGGCCTTCTCGGTAGTGGCGCCCACCCTGTGGAACGCGCTCCCTTCAGATGTGAAGGAAATAATCAGCTATCCTATCTTTAAAAGACATCTGAAGGCAGCCCTGTTCAGGGAAGTTTTTAATATTTAGCGCTGTAATGTTTTTAACACTTGATTGGGAGCCGCCGAGAGTGGCTGTGGAGACTGAGCCAGATGGGCGGGGTATAAATAATAAATTATTATTATTATTATTATATAAGTTGTTTTCAGTCCAGATTGATTCTAGATACTGACATCCAGAATGGCAAGAATGATAATACTTCTAAACTGTGTGTGTACTATTTTAGAAAAACAAGTACTCGGTCTGTATTAATTCTAGGATAAAATGTTATGTGTACACAGGCTATCTCTACCTATGCTTAAGAATAAGCAGAGTTTTATATGAGCCACAGCTTAGACCTAGAACAAGATTGGCCCTAGGAAATAATAATAAGGAAGAATAAGTAAGGGTGCAGAATAGCTGCAGAGTGCATAAGAACATGCACAACGATGCTTTTAAATGAAAATTGAGGGATATATGTTTTCTGTGGAATTGAGAGCTGTGTGAAAAGCAACAGGGCAGCAGTGTACAGGGAAGGCACACCCACAGTTAGGAAGACAGATAAGGCATTGGCCCTCAGTAGCACAGCTGGTCACACAGGAGCTGAACGGAACTGGCTCGCTTGCCATGATGCAATTCAACACCAACCCAACAAACGTGACATGCCCTATTTGTTCCTCTGCTGTTGCAAAACGAATACAGAGCGGAAATGTCAGCCAAAGGACAATGGGTGGATGGACAAAATTGCTCAACTTGCACGTAAATTTGGATCACGATTCTTAAATAAACAGGCCAAGGGACATGTTGGACCAGATTGGAATGATGACTGAGATGGACGGGCCATTAATCACAGGCATATTTCTTCCATGTTATGGATGATAATGATACTGACCCAGAACACTCAGAAACCAACGAAACATGCCTTATGTGTTGTTTCAGTGTATGTCTTTAATCCTTATTGTAAAAGGTTGGGGTGGAGGTCTGTGATTGGAGTCTGGCTTATGGAACAGAAGGCTCTCAGCTCCCATTAAACCTATGCACCCCCAAAAGACTGCTTTAAGAGCTTGAGTGCCACTGTTGGGGTGAGGGGGAATCTACACCCCCCCTTGTCTGCAGAAGCTCTGCTTGATGCAAGGCCTTCTATGAATAGGCTCCCTCCATTCGTGGGAAGGGAACCTGGATCCATGTTTCTAGCATTTCATCGCTTGTTACAGCTTAACAAAGAAAAGCATTGCATTAAACATGTTGCAGTAATCTATACGTTATATGCAGGGCTGCCTCTGATGATGGTTTGGAAACTTCAGCTAGTGCAGAATTCAGCAGCCAGGTTGCTCACCAAAGCAAGACGGTTTGAGCATATTACACCGATCCTGGTCCGACTGCACTGGCTACCAATTAGTTTCCAGGGCCAATTCAAAGTGCTGGTTTTAACTTATAAAGCCTTAAATGGCTCAGGACTGCAATACCTCAAGGACCGCCTCCTTCCATATGAACCTACCTGGACCCTGAGATCATCTTCTGAGGCCCTTCTTCGTGTGCTTCCTCCTCGAGAGGTCTGGAGGGTGGCAGCACGAGAACGGGGCCTTTTCTGCAGTGGCTCCCCATCTGTGGGCAGTTCGCCTGGCACCTTCATTATACACCTTTAGGCGCCAGGCAAAAACATTCCTTTTTAACCAGGCCTTTGGTTGATTTGATTGACAACCTATGCCCTTTTAAAATGTGGTTCTTTTTGGGTTGTGTGTGTTATTGGTTGATGATGATGATATATTGTGGTTTTATATTTTGATTTTGTTATGTGAACTGCCCTGAGACCTCGGGGTATAGGGAGGTATATAATTAAATTAAATTAAATTAAATTAGATTAAATTACATATTGCAAGGTAAATATGCAAACTTTGTCAGTATTCCTTGCCTTCAATGTAAAATGGCATTTTCCTGGAAAGCGTACAGGTTATCATGAATAAGCGTTGTAAATTGCAATCCCACATATCTTTAGCATATGAAACAGCTCTTTGAGGTTCAGGTAGGTAGATAAATAGACCCAGAACCTGGACTATCAGAGCAAAGGGACTGACAGGCCAGCAGACCTCTGAACAATCCCGACAAGGGAGGCTCCTCTGAGATTTCATTAGAGCAGGTGCAAAAGCAGCAGTTCCACAGCTGAAGTTTCAGACTGCGCACACAGAGAAGACCTTAAATGCACTGGCTTGTAAAGCTGCAGCTGTTTCCTATTTGCTTTCTGTGGGCACTGTCAGTAATTACCAAACTGTGATCATGAAGGCTAATTACACATCATTTAATTTTTTTACCTTTACTGCTGGAAGAACTGGACTTAATCATAGCTAACCTGGTGGCTCTTCTTTACGCCAGGCCCTTAGGCAAAAGGCTTCTGCAATGTTCTTGCATCGTGTTAAGACCTAGGGCTTGCCGATCAGAAGGTCGGCGGTTCGAATCCCTGCAATGGGGTGAGCTCCTGTTGTTCTGTCCCTGCTATGCCAACCTAGCAGTTCGAAAGCACATCAAAGTGCAAGTAGATAAATAGGTACCGCTCCAGCGGGAAGGTAAACGGCGTTTCCATGCGCTGCTCTGGTTCGCCAGAAGCATCTTTGCCATGCTGGCCACATGACCCGGAAGCTGTACGCCGGCTCCCTCTTCCTGTAAAGCGAGATGAGCGCGCAACCCCAGAGTCGGCCACGACTGGACCTAAGTGTCAGGAGTCCCTTTAACTTTATGTTAAAGGGATGGTCACATCCTATGTGAGCCTATCAAACGCTATCCTGATGGTACCTGAAGGGCCTCTTTTGCGTCTTCCCATCTTCCAAGGTTAGGGGATGACTGGAGAAGAGGGGCTTTTCAATTTTGGGGAAAGGGTTGCAGCTCAGTAGCAGAACACCTGATATGCATGCAGAAGGTTCCACGTTCTGTCCTTGGCATCTCCAGTGAGGACTGAGAAGGTCACCTTTGTGAAACCCTGTAGAAATGCTGCCAGTTTGTGTAGACAATACTGAGGTATATGGAGTAGCTGTTTGACTTGGTATAAGGCTGCTTCTTGTGCTCCTATTTGTAGCACTTAGAATTAAATCTGATGCCATTTTTCAACAAGCTGGAGAACTTTTTTAGTTGCCAAGGCATTCCATAACCTCAGCTGATTTTATCCAATTATTTTTATGCTTTGAATGGTTCTTACCGCTCTCCACTGTTTTTCTTGCTTCTGCTGAGTTAATTTCAAACATATTTTTTTATTCTGAGTTCTGTACTGGATATTCTTTTGTTCAGAGCTACCCTGAGAAATTTTAGCAACCTGGTGTACAAATGGTTTAAATAAATGAACAAACAAACATTCGGTCAGATTGCCATGACAACTGCAGAATCATCTTAAATGCACCAGTGTAAGGACAGTTGCGGCCCTGGCTGGAGGGTTAATTGTAGTCACCTCCAGTTGTGACAGTAGGGCAGGGTAATTTAGAAGGAAGATTTCAATATACCCTGCCATGGAGGTGCCCTCATTTCTCGAATAAAAGTTTATCAGTAGAGAGCAGCAATATTTGAAAACAATAAACTTGATTGTATGTATGTTTGTATTTTATAAGATGACTAAAGCTTTATAGACACTGTACAAAAAATTAAAAAATGTCAGAGGCCCTGCCCTCAGGCTTACAATCTAAAAGATACAACACAAAGCGAAAGGAAGATAGCCCCATACACCTGTACCCCTCCTATAGGTCACTTATGATGTTACCTTTTACTGAAATATTTTGTGAGGCCCCTGTCTCAATATGTATGTCACTGGTACGCACGCTAAGACCCTACCTGCCCGCGGACTGTCTCGCCAGAGTGGTGCATGCTCTAGTTATCTCCCACTTGGACTACTGCAATGCGCTCTATGTGGGGCTACCTTTGAAGGTGACCCGGAAACTACAACTAATCCAGAATGCAGCAGCTAGACTGGTGACTGGGGGCGGCCGCCGAGACCACATAACACCGGTCTTGAAAGACCTACATTGGCTCCCAGTATGTTTCCGAGCACAATTCAAAGTGTTGGTGTTGACCTTTAAAGCCCTAAACGGCCTCGGCCCAGTATACCTGAAGGAGCGTCTCCACCCCCATCGTTCTACCCGGACGCTGAGGTCCAGCGCCGAGGGCCTTCTGGCGGTTTCTTCATTGCGAGAAGCAAAGCCACAGGGAACCAGGCAGAGGGCCTTCTCGGTAGTGGCGCCCGCCCTGTGGAACGCCCTCCCATCAGATGTCAAAACGATAAACAACTACCTGACATTCAAAAGACATCTGAAGGCAGCCCTGTTCAGGGAAGTTTTTAATGTGTGACATTTTAGTGTATTTTTGGTCTCTGTGGAAGCCGCCCAGAGTGGCTGGGGAAACCCAGCCAGATGGGCGGGGTACAAATAATAAATTATTATTATTATTATTATTACTGGACATTTCACACCGAGTTCAGGGGCAGGATTGGGGTTCAGTGGTTAGAGCATCTGCTTCGCATGCAGAAGATCGCAGTCTTAATCCCTGGAATCTCCAGGTAGGACAGGGAGACACCTCAGCCTGGAGAGCTGCTGTAGACAATACAGTGGTACCTCCGGTTGTGGACGGGATCCGTTCTGGAGGTCCGGTCGGATCCCGAGGTTTCCACAATCTGAGGACCGCTTCTGTGCATGCACACATGGCGAAACCCGGTCAAATACTTCCGGGTTTGCCGCTTTTGCATCCTGAAGTTTACGTAACCAGAGGGTACCACTGTACTGAGCTAGATGGATCAGTGTTTGGACTCATATAAGGCAGATACCTGTGTTCCTTTTTTCCAAACAATAGACAATATTAACAAAAATCAATCCTGTTTCCAGTCTAAAAACTTGTGTGAGGGGAGTGATGTTGGATTAAAAATAAGTGGTTTCCAGCTGTACAGGATTTAAAGTTATAGACAGACTAATTAAAGATTAGGATGAAAAAAGTTGAAGGAAATGGAAATTTGGTATTTAAGAGGAAAAATTTTTAATGATATATTATATTAAGATTAAGGATTGGGATTAAAAAAGTGGAAAAGAAATTGCTGGACAAACAATTTGGACTGGAATACAAAAGAGGGAGGTATGGGGAGGTCCAGAAAATAAGTAAATTCAAAAACGGAAATGGAAAGGTGATATTGTTTTTTAATTGTTCTGTTTTTTTCTTTCTTGTTTTTTCCCCCTGTTTTTTATTATGTATTGTGTATTTGTGTATTTTTTTTTCTACGTTTTTCTGTTTAATCTTTTACTGAAATATTAATAAAAATCATTAAAAAAAAAAACTTGTGTGAGGGGGTGTCCACATGATTTAGAGGTTAGTGGGTCAGCACAGCTGACCATACATTTAAGATATGGTGACACTGTGCACATAGGCTATCCCTCTGAAGAAATCAGAATATAAAGACAGGATACTGGGGAAAGCTCATGATTTCTTTTTTTTTTATTATAGATTTTCTTGTTTTACAGAAGTATGTGCAATGTCTCTCGTAATTTTTTCCGTGTAACATTTTTTCAAATCAGTTTCATTTGTTGAGACATTGGGGGTGGAGGGGTGGAGGGGGGAAGATGGGGGGGGTGTCGGGTGGCGATGTTTCTATTTTGCTTAATGTATGTAGGGTTTGGTATCAGCATTGCACGTGCAGGTTCTCTGCTGTTCACTTGTGTTCCTTTGGTGGTGAGAGAGGTTGGGGTTGGCCTAGGGTGTGGTTGTTTGTTTGTGATTGGCTGTGGTGGTCTTTGTTTTCGTGTGTGAGTGGGGTGGGTGGGTGTTTTGGATCAGGTTAGCCATATTGATTTGTATGCTGTTGGTGGATTCTTGTCATTGTCTTGTTGGGCTGTGTATGTGATAAAGGGGAGCCATACTGGGGTAAAGGCGTCTTCTTCTGTTTGTCCCCTTGTCAGTTTCAGTTTATTGCTAAATTTTTCTAGTAGGGCTGTTTCCCATACTATTTGGTACCATTGGTCCATGCTTACTCCTGACAGGTCTCTCCAGTGTCTGGTTATGGTGTTTCTGGCTGCTGAAAGTAGGTGGGTTATGAGTGCTTTGTGGTGTAAATGGGCATTGTTGTCTTGGAAGATGCTTAGCAGGGCCAATTCTGGGGTGAGGTCTAATACTTGCTTAGTTATTTTACATATTTCTCGTATGGCTGTCGTCCAGAATAGTTGGATTTTGGGGCACTCCCACCACATGTGGAGGTATGTCCCTGTGGAGGTGCACCCTCTCCAGCATTTTGGTCAGATTCCTGGGCGTATTAGCGCTAGTTTTCCTGGTGTTAGGTACCACCTGTAGGTGAGTTTCAGAGTAGGCAAAGAAACCCCGCTGCCCCTTGATTGATTGAACATCTCTTCACACAAGTAACGTCTGAAGGGAAGTACTCTTGCAGTCAGCATACAAGGGAGATGTTCTTATAATCCACATCATGGATGATCTATTATAAAGAAGAAAGAAGAGGGACCCGTGTTGAACAGAGCAGACTAATAAGGCCTGGTTCTCATGTTCCTTGCCAAGAGGAATAAATCACATTATTTCCGTCTTTTGGAAATGTGTCTGGTTGCTTCATCAATGCTTCATACGATTCCTACATATTCACAGAGTATTGCTGGGCTGCTGGAAAAGGATTTTATTGAGTTGGTGAACTCTACATTTCACATGGCAGGGCTGCAATATACGAAAAGAGGGTGATTGCTTTTTTTGCTTGAAAAAACAGGGATTGTCTATATTGTCTTGTATTTGTAGCAGTGAAGATGGATTGGTTGGGCAGCTGTGATGGTACATGGAATGTTCATGGCTATTCCATCTGCCGAGGGAACAGACTTCTCAGGAAGTTGTGGAGGACTGTTCGTGAGATAAATAAAAGTTGCCTCTCATGGACCCTAGGAGCAGGAATAGTTTTGTGGGGAAGGCTGAGGACCAGAAGAGGTCCCAGAATATAGTGAAGCTAAAAGGCAGGATGCCCAGTGATAAAGCAGATGAACATAGGATACAATGGATGAAAATAAAATAAAAAGAAATCTCAGGAATATACAGGGAGGGCTTGAGAAAAAAGGCAGAGAGGTTAGAATTCACATAGCAGTTTAGTCTAACCAGCTAGTTCTTTGGTTATAGGCTTCTACTGTAGATATAAAACAATTCATGCTTTTTTCCATAGGATGCACAAAGACGAAAAGCATGCTCCATTTTTATTGTGTCTTTCAGTATTTATCTGAACAGTAAGTGTAAGATGTCCAGGCCTGCTATCCTGCCTCTCTTTAGATTATTATTATTATTATTATTATTATTATTTCTTTTAGATGCAGCACCAACAGCAGAAGGTCACATTACTTTCACCTGCCATGAAGTGTTTACCAGCAATTCCAAAGGCAAAATCAGTTTACAGCTCTTACGAATCTCTTTTCTCTCTGTAAACGGCCTTGATTATTAACTGAGGACATAGCACACTCGCTGTTCTCATGTTGAAGTGAGGGTGCACTTTTTGCAGGCGTACAAGCAACCGGAAAAAATAGTTTGCCACTCTTCTATGGACTGAACTGCAAGTTGTGCCCTCTGACTTACGCCATTAGTTGGGTTGTGCGTTGTGATCGAATTGGTGCTATTTCATTCCCAAGTAGGCTCAAATAAATATTGATTTAGTTGCATTGATGTTTGTTAGCCAACTGTGCTGTAGGCGGCTTCTGCTTTTTAAACAGAGGCCTATGGTTGAGCATAAGATTAAAGGATCAAGAGGAATGAAAGGTATGCCTGAACGAAAGATAACATCTCCCTAAAAGTCAGCAAATGTTTTCCCTTCACTTCCTCTCTGAGAACCACATTTTCTCTCACCTTTGTGCCGCAGGCCAGGAGAGAGCAAGCATGTTTCTGCCACTAGGCAAGTTTCGCTAGGCCATATATGGTACAGTTCAGTAGGAGAAAGTATCAAATGTAGAGGAAAATGAACTTCAGGAGCATGGGGACATGTTCTCTCATACATTTTTTTTTAGTTTTTCTTAAATTCAAAATTATAACAAGACATATTATCCAAAAACATATCATCCTTGTTCCCCCCCATTTCCCCCCCTCCTCCCCACCCCCACCCCCAACTTCCCTCAGTTCCAGTCTTTGGTTTCTCTAAGAATGCTGTTTTCTGCATGTTACAAAGTTGTATAGATCCTCAAACTATTTAGCTGATTATTATCAATAAAAAGTTTGTGAATGTTTATTCAAAGCCTGCCAAGGAGTCCACCTCACTTTGTTGCGTCTTCAGATACTTTGTAAAGGGTTCCCATTCATCCTTAAAATCACAGTTATCCTTATAGCTTATATGTCAGTTTTGCCAGTTCTGCATAGTCCATCAATTTTTCTTGCCATGATTCTTTAGTTGGGGTTTCTTCAGTCTTCCATCCTTGTGCTACCAGAACTCTCGTGGCCCTTGTCGCATACATGAAGATGTTTTTCAACTTTTTTGGCAAGTCCTCTCATACATGTTTTTACCTCTGTCCGGTGAGGGGATCATTAGGTCTTCCCACTGCTGAACAATATGGTGCACAGATCTGCATGTTTATCTGCTGAGAAATTCCTAAATGATACTGCCTTATGTGAGGGCAATGGCCATTAGGAATGCCAGAGAATTTCAACAGAAATAGGAGCAGAAATTGCCAGTGTTTGCTTATCAATATCTGGAACAAAAACCAATCCAGTTAATACAATTATTCATTGTTCTTGAGAGGAGTAAGCAGAGGTGTTTAATTAATATTATTATTAGAGTTAAAACAAGTGAACCAAAACAAATACGAAATTCAAAATATGCATATAAATAAAACCAGCAGTTATAACATACACTGTAAAGTAAAATTACGTGTTATAATAGATGCCAACTTTATTTATTTGAGTAGCCTTGCCTAAACAGCACAACAAAGTTGCTCTTGGAAGAAAAGCTGTTCCAGCCTCTTCCTTGGAAGCATATATAGACCTATAAAAAACGGTTTTATATTGTGAAGGAGATAAAATAGGCTTTATTTTGTGTTTTGGTGGTTTTGAAACATTTAAAGCAAATACTATAAATAGGGAGGTGATGGTGATCTTTTCAAGAGCAGATGGTTCTCTCATGCCTAATGTGGGAGTTGACTTCTGTGCAACTGTTAGGTTTTTTGTTTTCTATTGCAGTTCAGATATCTGGGAGTGCACTGCTGCAAGAAAAAAGCTTCCCCAAATTCTGCAGCTTTTCATTAAAGTATTTGTCAAATATTCAGAAGTTGTCATTTTGGATCACTAATCTCAATTTCTGAACATTTGAAATACAATACAGACATACCTTGTGTTGAATGTGCTTTGGGTTGAGCGCGTTCGAGTTGCGCTTCGCGGCAACCCGGAAGTAACGGAGCGTGTTACTTCCAGGCATGCGCAGACGCTCAAAATGACGTCACACGCATGCGCAGAAGCGGCAAAAAGCGACGCGTGCATGCGCAGACGTGCCGTCACTAGTTACGTTTGCTTCTGGATGCGAACAGGGCTCCGGAGCAGATCCCGTTCGTATCCAGAGG